GCGATCCTGACGGAGAAATTAAAGCATTCTTAGAAATGGGGGACAAAAAGTGGGAGGGGAAAACTGCGTCGCACGCTGAGAGAGATTCGCGGGCACAGCACGCGGGGAGCGGGGGGGGGAACGGGGGCGACACCATCGCGTAAGAGTATAACGGCCGCCGAACCCAAAAAAAGCACAGTAACGAACAAAACCAGGGCCTGAGCCTCCCACTGGCTCGACCCTTAGCTGGACATTCGGATCCCGGCCTGGCCATGGCTCACCCTCTCTGGGCGACACCTCCCGTTCGGCTCTCACCACTCGGCGGCCATTTCCAGTCTCGGTGAAGGAAAAGAAATGGGGGGAGGGTAGAAAAAGGAAGGAAAAACCATAGAGAAGACGCTTTCTGCGACGTTAGAATAACACGAATGCGTCACTTCCGCTGCTGGAAGGCTGCCGGAAAAGAATAGGAAAGCCATCAACCAGCTCCTTTTAGTTACCCAGCTCATGCCCGTAAGAAAGATGGCGCTTAGAACAGGGAAAATGACGTAAACTCCTACAGCTGGTATTTTTTAGAGTCATATGTGATAATTCCTTCCCTAAGACTGGACTGCAAAACTCCAGTCGACTACTAGATGGCAGGCAAGGGATGTTTCTGTATCCTTCTGGGAAAGAAGGTGGGAGGGGGAAGCAGAGATAACCACTCCAATGCGCATGCCGAGGCAAAGTTTTCCTTATTAAGCGTGATATGCGTGCAATTTATTGGCTGGAATTTTTTTTAAAAAAAAATCTGCGGCTGCATTTTCTGAATGATGTCAGTCGTTTTTGGGAAGCATAATTTCAAAGAATGCCGCTGTTTTGAGATTTCTTCTCATATATCTCTGAATAGGCATACAGCGTTTGACATCGTCTGCGGAGTGCAAGGTGTCTTCGTGCTGTCGTTCCTAACAACTGTTTGTTATCACTGAAGCTGAAGCAAGGAATTAGGTGTATATAATTGGCCCAGAGTCATCCAGTGAGCTACATGCTGAACATTTACCGATTTTCGTGGTCCCACTTGAGCACACTACATTGGATCTTATTAGCACTTCTCTCTTATTTGAGCTGAAATGTTCTTTATTTATTGTTACATTTTAATTTTGTGGAATATTTTACTCCCCAAATGATCCTTGCATTTTGTTCAATAAATAATAATAATTATTATATTAATAACTATATTTTATTTAATTATATTATATTATTAATAAATAAATAAGAATAACCACAATCTGATGAAGTAGGCAAATCACTTTGTTTGACATGATAGTTTATTAGGATATGTCATTCTTTTATGGTTAAAAAGTTGCAGGAATCATCAAGCTATGTGTATGAAGACTCACGGTGGTTTGAGTAACCACAGTGCAGATGTATTTTGTCAGACACAATGGAGGAGTCATAAAACCAGTTCATATTGTCTGTATGTCTTTTCCAGAGGTGATGAGTGCATTCTTGAGGGACCTGAAAGAACCAGGTTAGGGATAGATCGTCTTGCAGAAGATCTATCTATGTGGTCACTAGGAGTCGAAAACAACTTGATGGCACATAATCAATATGTCTTTTGCTTGTATTTGTAATGGGAACCTAAGTATCATCCTATATAGTTCTAATATGAGAGTTGTGTATTGCTTATTTGGGTTTGAAATCAACAGGAATCTGAACTTTTATTATTGGCCTAACATGTTGAACAGTATGCTTTTCTGAGGCTTGTTTATTAGGTAATATGCATACAACACAGTGCTGCAACAGCCAAATCTATCCAGGAAAGTGTAGAGTTTATTAGGATGAATCTTTGGCTGAAACTGCTTTGATACATCACAGTTATCTCCTAATACACCTAGTACAAATACAAATTAGATCTGTTAAAATAATATGGAGAAGCTGGAGAAGCTTAAATATATGGAAATACGTTGATGAAGATTCTCAGTCATCCAGGTGGAATTATCTGGAGGTTGAGTCCAAACAAAGTGATTTGCCTACTTCATCAGATTGTGGTTATTCTTATTTATTTATTAATAATATAATATAATTACAAACAAAGTGATTTGCCTACTTCATCAGATTGTGGTTATTCTTATTTATTTATTAATAATATAATATAATTATTTTCTTTTGGTTTGATATGTTTTGCTGCTTGTCCAAGCAGCTTCTTCAAAAAGTCAGTTGCCATGACTCAACCTCCAGTTAAATATATGGAAATGCTTTCCAAGATGATAATATATTTACAACAGCAAGGGTCAACTTGTGTTTATTGTACATACCTTAACAGCAAGAACTTACAAAAGACATTGGCCACCATCAATTGTTTAAAAAGTCCTAGCATAAATTGTAGGCCTGCAGCATGCGCAATATTTAATTAATGAAGGAGCCTTAGAAAAAGTGGAGAGTGTCCAGTAGTCTCAACAAACAATTTATAAAACAGTGGGTGGCACTCTTCAATCAGAATGGGAAAATTATCAACCAATGCTGTTTCTAGCTTATATAACAAGATATTATGGCAGTAGAGCAAGTTTTAAAAAATATATATATCTTGAAGAAATGTCTTAGTAGGTGGTAGCATCTGACTAACCTTTCTAGGCTCAGAAGGTAAGCAAGATTTGGCCTAGCTGGTACTTGGATGCAATACCACCGGGGAACACTGTGAATGTAGCCTAGACTAGTTGTGTGGTTTTTTTTTAATTGCACAAGAGGGCAATGGCAAACCATTCCTATACTGTTTCCAAGAAAGCTATGTTAGCCTGTCCATGAAATCACCAGGAGTCAAACTTGACTTAAATAAGACTTTACCTTTTTTAGAGTTTAAAGATTGCTTTAAATGAGCTATATGATAAATTAATAGAGAACACAGTCTATAACTGGATTTTTTTTTTTTTTTTTTGTACCTTTGACTCAGTGTTGACTCCTGGTGACTGCCTGGACAAGTCCCTACAATTTTCTTGGCAATCTTTTTGGAAGTGGTTTGCCCTTGCCTCTTTCCTAGGGTTGAGAGAGAGGGACTGGCCCAAGGTCACCCAGCTGGCTTTGTGCCTAAAGTGGGCTAGATCTCACGGTCTCCTGATTTCTAGTTTGGTGCCTTAACAACTACACCAAACTGGCTCTTAAAATACCAATTATTAGAGTGGACCTTTAGTATGGTGCCATGCTTGTGTCCCTGAATTATCTGTCTCTGCTGTTGGAAAGAGGAAGGAGGGCTAGATGGTCATGTGCTCAGATTCAACAGGATTTAAAAAATAATATTTTAATGGTGCAATCCTATATGACTGAATTTGCACAGCACACATACAGAACATTAATTTAACCATGATGTTTTTTGTTTTTGTTTTAATCCGCTTTCAATTGTGACCCATTCGATGGAGACTGCCTGGACAAGTCCTTGCAGTTTTCCTGGCAAGGTTTTTCTGGAAGTGGTTTGCCATTGCCTCCTTCCTAGAGTAAAGCCCAGCTGGTGGTCACAGGAAATTGAGTCTCTTCCACTGCGTTGCATCCAGCAACTGGCAACCAATTCCCATTTTCCCGTGCAAGGCGCCGCCAGCGTTTTTCCTCCCACTGGGGTGAGAGTACCTATTTATCTACTTGCTTACGCTTTTGAGCTGCTAGGTGAGCAGGAGCTAAGGGCACAAGATGAGAGCTCACCCCGCCACGCAGAGCTTGGGCTCGAACCGCTGAAGTGTCGACCATTTCTGGCTGGCAACTTCCAGCGTCATTAAGCCGCTGTGCCACCGTGTCCATTAACCATGATGTATTCAAGCCAATTTTCTGGGTTTACTTGACAGGCTAAATCATAAATTAATAGAATGGCTAGATTTGTACAATATGCTAGATGAAAAGAGGATGGATAATCTGTAAGTCAGTGTGTCATATGAATATAGCCAACATGTTTCCTTGGAAGTAAGTGAGAAGGTATTCAGTGAAGCTTAATCCATTGAAGTAAATGGAAACAGGGTTAGGGTTTAAAGGAGAGTACAGGTAAGGGTAAATATGGAGGAATTAGGAAAATAAAATATAGATAAGGATGTGCATGGGTGCTGTAAGAAGGACAAAAAGCAAATACATATCTACTTCATATCCATCCTTTGCCACTTTGATACTTTGTTTAAAAAAAAAACTATGGTAATTAACAATAAGAGTTACTATTGTTACACATGGTAGTTGTATAGCACAAATTAGATAGCACTTGATAATGAGAAGAGAACAAAGAAAGATACACGAAATTTTAATTTCTATCTAGTGAAAGTTAGTACCTTCACTACTAACGTTAATGTATTAATCTGTTTTGTTCAGTTCAATTTGTAGGAGCAAGCTTACCAATATTTTTGCCTAGAATCAGAAGCTAAATATCTTATGTACCTGTTTCCTATGTTCATTCATGCTAACTTCATTCTTGGTGTTTGGGAAGTGCAGAACATAGGAAATCACTGAGGTTGTACGTAAGTATTTTTCTGTTTTTGCAGTCACAAGGTATTTTGGGCTTGTGCCAATCAAAAGGCACTATTGCTTCTGTCTGGAAGAAACTGGAATAACCTGTTTAAGTCTTTGCTGTCTTGTCTACTGATTGGCTGATCAATTAAGGAGGTGGGGACCAGTACATTTGTTCCACTCACCTGTGATGTCATTCTATATAAGCATCACCTTTCTTTGTTAGCCTGGGGATTGTTGCTAACTTTCTAAAACTGTTGTGCTTACTTTTAACACCCTTTGTTTGATACAGGACAAAGGTTGATTCCTGTATCAAAGAATGCTTCCTTTTTGTTTAATTATTGATTGCTCTCCCATCTAAAATAGAGGAAAGGGATTAATTCAGAGTTTTTAGATATAGACTTTTTGTCTGCACTCAGGAAACAGTTTGAACTTTTTAATAACTCATCTAGATAATCATATTTGGCATTATCTAGATCAAAATTTTCCAGTACAGGAATATATGAGCAATAAAGCAAGCAATTGAGGTATAAACGGTCCTTTCCTGTTTTACCCTCTGGTTTTCTGTTGGATCAGGAAAATAAGAATGGGTCAGCTGTGTACCAAGTGCATCCAGTTGCTTTATGACTTTGCTCTCTCAGGGAAAACACTCTTGTCAGGTCTATTGCTTGATATTAGGAAGTATTTGGCTCAGATCGCTGACTGCCCTTGTCTAAAGCGAAAAAATGTTGAAATGAGGCAACTCTACAAACCTGTTCTTCGTCCCCATGAAAAGGAAACTGCCCAAGAGTTTCTGCAAGACATTGAAAGAGGTGAGAAGTTTCTGCTTTTGAAAGTGAGTCAGCCAACTGTGTTTATTAGAGTTCTGTTGTTTTGCTTAAGTCTGTGCAGTTTACTGTGATCGTGGGAGTCACACTGTTTATGTTTCTGCTTTTTTTGTGAATAATGATGGAAGAGAGGAGAAACTGAAATATAAAGTACTCTGAACAATAATTGAGCAGTGATTCTCAATTCTAGATTTATTGGTTAAACCCCTGCTTAAATGTGCAAAGGTCTGCCTACAAAGGTCTGATTTTTCTGGCCAAAAGCTGTCACAATGCACTTTTACATCTTTATTGTAGCATTATCATTCCTTGGCTGGGCAAGGACCAAAATATTTCTGGGTTCAGTAGTGTACCATGATGGCACATAATAACTGCTGAACAATAACAATAGCAAAAGCAACCGTGGATTATCAAGCACTATTTTTTTATGGCAATCTCCACTTTGAGATAATAATTTATTTCTTCTCACATGTACAAAAAAGAATGTTTACTTTTCCAATTCTATTACTATACTGTTTGCACAATTATTAGGCAAGTGAGTATTTTGACCATATCATCA